GCGGGTCCCGGTTGCAAGGAGCCGCGGGCGCCGTCGCAGGGGCACGAGCCCGACGAGTCCGAGGAGGAGGAGGCGGGCGACGTGGAGTCCGCGTGGCCGGCCCAGCCCCAGCCCGGGGAGAAGACCCAGGGGTCGAGGCCAAGGAGCCCGTGCGGAGGCGGCGGGGAGCGGGCCATCGCGGCGCTGCGGGCTCGGGAGGCCGGGGCCACCTCCAGGCCGGAGCTTTTATCCCGACCAAAGGTGCGAGGTGGCCCCCCGCCAGGTTGCAGAGAGGTGTCAAAACCCACAGAGCCCAGGCAAGGTCTGGGCAGGGGGGCCCTGGGAAAGCCGGCCCATTTGCGGAGGTGTGGATTCTGACTCCTCGGGGCCTTAATGGGGCCCCCACTGCCCGGGAAGTGTGGGAGGGACAGTTCACATCTGGACGAAGCTGCTGAGCTTCGCGCCTGCTCCCACCGCGCTCCACGCTTTCCCACCCATCCGCTGCAGGGTGGGTGCCCGGGAGCCCCCCGCAGGTGGTGCCATGGCCTGCGTGTCTCACGGGCCCTCTTCAGGAGTTTTCTCCTGTGCCATCCTCAGCCTCGGGGAGCTGTGCCCAGCAACTCACCCCAGAGCCCTACCATGGCCACGGGGAGGGAGCGCGCTTTTGGGGGAGCCTCTCTGGGGTCCCCAGGACCTGCCTTTGCTGATTGGCTGAGTGACGCTGAGAAAAATCATCTCACTGCCCATGTTTCTTTCAACGCCTGAAGTTTGGAACCCAGCTCTCTGCAGAAGGCATAATGGGCCATGGAAATGGGTGATGGGCCCCAGACTGGCCTGTTCCTTATGCGGCCTTAGCAGGTCACCGACCACCTGTGAGCCCAGGTGGCCTCACCCATCCGGTAGTGAGGGAAGATGCCTGCTGCCTGGGATGAGCCCTGTGGAGCCCTTGGAATCATGGGCCTTTTGCTGGTATCGTTTTAAAAAGAAGGTACTAACGTTCAGTGGACTTTAAGGGCATTATTTATTGCGTTCATAATTATTTAGCAGCTGGTAAATGCCAGCCACACCAGGGTGACCAAGCTAGTCACCACCTCTGCCCTCCTGAGATTTCAGTCTTGGAAGACACATGAACAGCCAGCTATATAACTAGGAGCTCTGCCACTAGTTAGGTGCCCTCGGGCAGGGCCTTTAACCTGAACTTAATCAAAACTCAGTCAAGCAGGAGTAGTGACTATAGTGTCTACTCACAGGACTGATGTGAGAAATGACTGACAGCAAAATTGACCACGTAAACTTCTCAGTGACAGTTACACCTTGAGGGAGGCGTCTGGGTTTTGTGATGCCAGGGAAAGGGCTGAGCCTGAGGACTGGGAGGGCCGGAGACAGTCAGGCTCTGGGCACTGAAATGCAGAGGTTGCAGCTGGGCCCTGAGCGTGAGTAGGGTTTGAGCAGGGAGAGGGGAGCACGGAGAACATTCCAGAAAGACCTGTCCAAGCAGAGGCCTGGCCGTGAGCCCCCGGGGCGCTGGGGGGCTGGGGTTGGGCTAAGGAATTGGATGTCGTTCCAAAGCCATAGGAAGTGTAGGATTTTTGAGAAGAAGGGTGACATAATTTTAAAAATCAGCCATCAGGGCCGGGGACAGAGCTCAGTGGCACAGTACCTGCCTGGCAAGTGCAAGGTCCTGAGTTTGAGTCCCAATACAAAAAAACAAAACAAAACAAAACATCAGCCATCACCTAAAGGTGACCATGACAACAGCATTCAAAAATAGATCAGCCCACAGCAGCCTGAAGCAGCAGAGGGCCTCATAAATTTTTCTTCTCTTTCTTTTGAACTCTCAACGATCCTCCTGCCTTAGCATAAACTTTTCATGTCTGTTTTTTAAAAATCAATTTTAATTACCCGAGTTACATAATCAGTCTGTTTCTCTGTGAGAAATAAAAGTGTGATAGGTGAGGCTGGAGTCCCCTTAACCACCCTGTGACTCGCTGGAGGTGGCAGCAGTTTCTATTTTTTTTTTTTGTTTTTGTTTTTGTCTTTTGAGACAGGGTCTCACCATGCAGTGCAGGCTGGCCTTGAGCTCACTTTGTAGCCCAGGCTGGTCTCAAACTCACAACGATCCTCCTGCCTCAGCCTCCCAAGTGCTGGGATTACAGGGGTGCACCACCACGTCTGGCCTGGCAGCAGTTTCTAGGCTGTGCATCTGCATAAACTCAGAATCCTCAAAAGGCACACAGTGCTTAGTGTCCTTTGGGTCTGTCCCCCTGCCCTGAATCCTCGTGCTGGAAGCTTGGTCCCCAGTGCAGCGGGTTGAGAGAGGTGTGCCTTTGGTGCTGACTGGGTCCTGAGCCCGCTGTACTTGTGAGTGGCCTGTTTACTTTGGGACTGACGTGCACTCGGGAAGAGGTGTTGCTGGGAAGCAGGCGCGCTGTAACGTGCTTGCTCTGTCTTGGCATGCAGTGTCCCGTGCCGTTACCGGATGCCAGTGCCAAGCTGTTGGACCTTCCAGGCTCCAGACTGTCAGAAACACATTTCTTTACAAATTACCCGGCCTGTAGTACTCAATCAGCAATGGAACATGAGCCAAGACACTACTTATGCAGGTCTGTTACGCATACTCTGCATTGTACATCTTACCGTGCAATGCCGGGATTACAGGCGTGTACCACCAAGCCCTGCAAAAGAGCACATGATTACAGACCATTCTATATCAGGACTCCTTTTTGCTAGTAAGGGGTCAAATTGCTGGGCATGCTGGGGCACACTTATAAGCTCCGCCGTCTAGGAGGCTGAGACAGGAGGATTGCAAGTTCTAGTTCAGTCTGACAACTTAGTGACTTAGACCCTATCTCAAATTTTAAAAAGGGGCTAGGATGAGTCATTTGTAGGACAACTTTGCACCTCAAGATTCACAATGTTAAGTGAAATAAATCAGACACAAGTTTAAATATCACACAGATTCTCTTATATGAGAAAAGCAAACTATAAAGAACAAAATAAAAAACATAATAGGAAATAAGAGGTAAGTCTTCTGCAAAAAGGAAGGGAACTGAGAGATGGAGGGAGAAGGAAGGAAAGAGAAGGGAAGGGAATGAAGGAAAGAATTAAGATGCTGTGTAATGGCACGAGCGACCCACCAGGAGTGTAATCATCATGTACTGGAATCATGTAACCAAAAAAATGAAAATTTTAAAAGGCGGGTTAGGGATATAGGTCTATGCAAAGGTCCTGGCTTCGATCCCAAGTACCACAGGGGACAAGGGGGGCAGTGAAAGTTGGGTAGGTTATTGTGGGTATGCCCTTGGAACATTAATGCAGTTTTCATAGGCCCTGTTAGTTGGTGTCAGAGTTGTTACAAAGAGCAAGACCAAGGCTGTGTGTGGCAATGCATGCCTATAATCCTAGCACTCAGGAGGCTGAGGCGGGAGGATCACTGTGAGTTCAAGGCCAGCCTAGACTACATAGTGAGACCCTGTCTCAAAAACAAGACTGGGATAGGGATGTAGCTCAGTGGCATAGCACCTGCCTGGCAAGCACAAGGCCCTGAGTTCAATTCCTGATACAAACAAACAAATAAGACCAAGACCAGCTCCTCCATAGGTCTATCTTGCTTCATAATCTCTTGTCTACACATCTTCCCAAATTAGTGATGCCACTGGCCATCAGGGCCTTACCAGTGTGTGAAGAAGCTGGCACCATGTTCTGGGACCCCCATTACTGTGACCTCATGAAAACTTTTTTTCTTTACAAATTACCCAGCTTCTGACATTTTGATATAGCAATGGAAAACATACTAATCCAATGATATAAGAGGGTTTAAAACAAGATTTCAAAAGTAGTATCTCCTGCTGGGCATAGTAGCGCATGCCTATGATCCCAGTACTCAGGAGGCTGACGCAGGAGGATTGTTACAAGTTTGAGACCAGCCTGGGCTACAGAGTGAGCTCAAGGCCAGCCTGGACTGCATGGGAAGACCCTGTCTCAAAAAAGAAAAAAAAAATAGTATCTCCTAACAGAAGAGGGGGCATTCAATCCTAGACTTCTTTTTTGGTACCAGGAATCAAACTCAGGACCTCATTCTTGCCAGGCAGGCACCATGCCACTGAGCTGTACCCCGGCCCAATCTTAGACTTTTTAAGTTAGAATAATGGCCGATGGAATGTAAGTACATCATTTATTCATCCAAGACCACACAGCACTGTAAATTTCTTGACATATTACCTATCAAGGAATGAACTCACATGTACCTGACAGTTATAAGTGACATTCATCAGGTTTCACAGACGTGGCTTTCAAAACATCTGCAGTGATACCTAAGTTCACAGGCACTTCTCTTTGCACACAGTTTGGTTCACAAACAGAAGCATTTGGCAAATTTCGTTTTTGTTTGCAAACTCTGCATTGGGTGGTAAATACGACCATGGCCACCATTCTGGCATGAACACAAAGATGATCAACTTTTCCAAAATCGTAGAACAAACTAAGTTCATGAATGGGGGCACCACTGTAACTGACAAATAATAATTGTACATATTGCTGGGGTGCAGCTGACATTTCAGTGCATGGATACAGTGTGTAGTGACCACATTGGGGAACTGGCCTATCCATCACCCCAAACATTTATCATTTCTTTGTGCTAGGAGCATTCAAAATCCCCTCAGTTAGTTGTTTGAAATTACACAATTAGTTGTCTTCAACCATAGTAACCCTACTGTGATACAAGACATTAGAAGTTACTTCCCCTACCCTTCTGCAGCCCTGTACATAGAAAGCTTGGACTACACTCTGGAATTTCAGTGTGTTTTTACTGATGTTTCTGACTCCCACTTTTTTTTTTTTTTGGTACTGGGAATTGAACTTAGGACCTCATGCTTGCCAGGCAGGTGCTGTGCTGCTGAGCTACATCCCCAGCCCTGACTTGTCACACATTTTAACCACAGTATAATATTCCATTGCAAAAAAAACCCTCAGACACTCCATTGCAAATCACCTACTAGAGTCTGTCCGTTACTGATGCCTCTGTAGTGTGATTTTAGTTTTCTGCAGAGCCAAGCAGCTGCATATGCAGTGGTGGAATGGCTTTGTGGTTTCTGCTACAGTTGTGACCTCCAAAGATCCAGAACACACCCCCACACCTATAGTATCAGTCCACAGGGAAGTCCCTTGTTTGACGTTGATGATTAATGAGCACAGGGCCCAAGCACAGGGCCCTGCATGCGGTACCTGTTACTCTTCCCTCTCTGGGTTAGCCTGGCCTGTGTAGCCTTGGCTTGGCCTGGCCCAGAGCCCTGACTGTGGGATGTCACAGCCTAAGTTCTGGCACCTGGGCTCGGTGTGGTCCTGGCTCTTCCCTGGCCCCTCAGCCAGGTTCCTGAAGCATAGAGCACATTGTGGCATCCTCATCACCAGGAGGGAGCCCAAAGCAGCTCCCCTGCTGGTCCTGGGAGGCAGCGTCCTCTGAGGTTAGAGCCCGTTTCTAAGTCTCAGGGGCCTGGTTTAGTTCCCAGCTCCGGCACTTGGGAAACTTACCCTCAGTTTTCTCATCTATAAAGTGGGGATTCTGACACTGGGGTAACTGGGGTAAAATAAGGTACTACCTGGTGTAGTATTTAGCTGGTGTTAGGCGTATAGCAAGCTCAGGGCAGCAGAGCGGGTAAAGGAATAGACTGATCGCAAGGGGGCTGTTTCTTCAGCGCTGGCCCTGGTGGAAGGAAAGTGATTGGCCCCTCTGTGACTGTCCAGTCCCAGGCCTTGGGTGCCCCTCATCTCCCCCTCTCTCCTCCAGGACCTGGCCAGCGCCATCCTCAGCGGGACTCCAGCTCCTCACCACAGCTGGAAGGCAGAGGAAGCAGGAGAAGTCGGGTGCCTGGCACTGCTGCTAACAGGTGAGCATAGCCAAGGCTACGTGGCAGCCTCAGAACAGCTGCTCATGTGATAGGGCCTGGCCCCGGGGGCCCGACCCGCCTGCCACAGCCTGGACCCTAACACAGGGCACCTCTTGGCGAGTGGGTATGGAGCCTGAGTTTCCTCTGTGCCAGAACCTGCGCTGGGTTCAGAGCAGAGAAGCGCGGCGTGGGCCCCAGCCCAAGGGGCTTTCTCCGAGTTCTCTTAGCAGCTGACCTACCTGTTCTGGAGGAGGCAGGCCAGCACCCACAGGTGTATCCTGCCTGAGATGGGAACCGCTGGGCGTGGTCATGAGTGTATTGACATGAGCTGACGTGGCTAGTTGCTACACAGCACCTTTTTTTCGTCTTTTTGAGGCAGGGTCTCGCTGTGCAGTTCAGGCTGCCTTGAGCTCACTTTGTAGCCCAGGCTGGTCTCAAACTCACAAAGATCCTCCTGCCTCAGCCTCCCCAGTGCTGGGATTACAGGCATGTACCACCACGCCCGGAGCCACACAGCATGTATTATACCTCTATTCACCTTTGCTCCTTAATAATAGAAGGACCTGCACTGTGGCTGGTAACATGCAGACAGAATGGCCAGTGTCAGTGGTTTCTGGGAGAGCTCTTTATTTTATTTACTTAGTTATTTCCTTTTGTTGAGCTGTCACCCTGTGTTGCCCAGGCTGGCCTGAAATTTAATGGTTACAGAGGATAGACCTAAGCCAACCCTCCAAATTCACTGTGCCCCATCCTGGGAATTGAACCAAGCTAGGGAGGTGAGGGCTTCCATTCCCCAGGCAGCGAGGGCCACACCTACAGTACATAGTGAAACCGGGGCATGGGTGATGAGGCTTGGGGACAAGCTCTAGCTCGGGGAGAGCGTTTGGTGAGGGGCTTGAAGCCAGGTCACCTGCAAAATAGCTGAAGGGCTTGGAGTGTTTGATCCAAGAATAAAAAGTGAGAGGATGTAGTAGTTCCCTCCAAAGGCCTGGAGCTAGCGGGGCCTCCAGGGAGAATCTGAAGGGCTTTCTAGGGTCAGAGGCTGGGCCCTGTGAGGCAGAGAGCAGCTGCTCTGGGGTGCAATGAGAAGAGGCCAGAAAATGATGCCCCAGTGCATCTGGGACCAGGAGTGGGGGAGCGTTAACAGCGCCTGCTAAGCACCACACAACACGATGCTGGTCCTGGTGACCTTCCAGAGCTGCGGCCCTGAATCAGGGAGGGGACAGGAGGCGCAGCCTCAGCACTCTGGCTGTCCCAGCACAAGGCAGTCCAGAGCAAGGTCTCCAGCAGCTTCAGGCTTGGCCACCTACCCCTCCTCCATGCCCAGAGCCTGTGGCTTTGCTGCGTCGAGCAGAACCACTATGCTGGGCCAGCCTGGTGCTGCCAGTGACCCGAAGTCAGGTAGGAACCATGTGGGAACCAGGGCCTGAGCTGCCCCTCAAGTTCACCCAGCCCTGGACCTGCAGAGGGTGAGGACAGATGCTGTCCCTGTCGAGCCTACCCTGGTGGCTGAGCACAGGCTCTCCCACACCAACAGCTCCCTGCTGCCACAGTCTGCTCTGGGGAATCTGCCCCCACTGTCCCCCTGAGCAGGTAGCATAGGGTTGGCAGCAGGGCGAGGGATGAAGCCACCTTGTGGTGGGCCTCTGGACGCCAGTCTCCCTTCTGGTCCTGTCCGAGGCCCCTCGGGACCTGGGGTGTCGGGCTGCGGGAGCGCAGGCGGGAGGGTGGGCAGGGCGAGCGCCGGGTGGTGTTCTCATTACCAGCGAGCCCGGGGCCACCTTCACACCTCCTGGCTGCCCGCTGACACAGAAGGTGTCAACTTGGGAAAGCGAGTGTGTGGGGGCCGCCAAAACAGCCCAGAGCATTGTCCTGGGGCGGGGGTGGGGGCTAGGGGAAAGGTGTGTGTGTGTGTGTGTGTATGTGTGGTGGGGTGGTCTGCAAGAGTCCCTTCTGCATCCCTGAACAGCCACAACGAGGGCACAGCCAGGGAAGTCCGATGACACGGTCTGCCTGCCAGAGCATGACCAGTGTCACTGTAGCTGAGAGCCACCGGGGCAAGGTCACAGAGCAGCCAGCCTGTCCCCAGGCCTGCACCGATCAAACCCCACAGCCCCAGCTCAGAGGAGGACACTGGGCACGGCCGGAGAAGCCCCATCCCTGACCTCTGGTTCCCAGAGCCAGGAATCCCACTGCAGGACACTGGCGTAGAGCCGTGGGCCGGCTGTGCTTGTGGCACAGGGCTGGGCTCACTGCGGCCCCACAGGAACGAGTGGCTGCTCCTGCAGGCACCATGGACCCAAGACCTGGCCCCTACCGGGTGGTTGGGAAGGTCCCAGGAAAGACAAGGGCCTGGAACTGGGGGTTTCCTTCCCATCACGAGATTTTGCTACAGCTGGAAGCCGTGGGTAGGGGGCCAGTGCTGGGGCTGGAGCCCTAGGGGAAGGCGGGATGGCATGGACCAGCAGGTGCGCTTGGCCCTGCCTATTGAGTGGGGAGCTGGGGTGTGAGGGAGACAATCTGAGGAAGGAGAGGGCAGGAGGAGAAGAGCTGAAGTGGGGAGCCAGTCAGGAGGCACAAAAAGGGGGTGGTGCCTTTGGGCTGGGGCAGTTGCTGGGTCTGGAAGCTGCCCTCTGTCCTTCCTCCAATGAGAAGGCTGAACCATGAAGCCGGTGCAGCAGCTGTGGCCAAGCCAGCAGGGGTTTCACTCCCGACCTGGGGCTCAGTCTCTACATCTCTGAAATGGGTATCTGCTGAGGAGTGAAGGGGACCTTTGTCTGTGCCCTGTGGGGGGTGCTTCCGAGGCCCTGCAGCTCCCGGGAAGGACAAAGAGGACAATAGGTGCTACCCTCGGGCTTGGACTCTACTCTTGGGGTGGAAACTAGCTGAGGAGGGGCCTGTAGAAGGTTTTTGGCCTCCCTCCTTCCTTGTCTTTCTTTCACCAAAGAAATGCGTGCTTGTGCCCCTTATAGAAAATAGGAAAGTATGGACAAGACAAAGGAAGGGAATGTAAAGCACCCTGGTTCCATCTACCCGGAGAGAAGCAGCTCTAATGCTGCACCCTTTGCCAGGCGCACCTTTCCTGGGCACCTCTGTCCCCCTGGGCTAGGCACAGAGGCACTGAGGCACAGTGTGGCACTTCCTGAGGGTGTTTTCAAGTTTCTGG